TTAAGGCACAGGGCAGAGAATTCTGTACAGTCATATTAGGAAGGCTATATACTCTTTTTAAAACCACAGCTAATGGCTCTATAGTGCTTTTTTATTGGTACATTTTAGATATACATATTGACAACACTCATCATAGGGAATTTGCACCTGTACATGATATATCTTGATGCTTTTTTTCCCATTCCCCTCCCTTCCCTTATTTTCTCTTCCCTTCCTTATTTACAAAGCTTTGTTTCCATTTTTTCCCTTTTTTCCTTGTCCTTTCCCCCTCCTCTTCTCTCATTCTCCTTCTCATTTGAACATTTTCCTTCCATTTCTCAATATCTATTACACATTTTGATCCTTATTTACACTTTTGGTTTCTCACATCAGAGAAACAAAGTGGTATTTACACATGTGTGTCTGATTTACTTCACTTATGAGAATGGTCTTAAGGTGCACCCATTTAGCTAGAAATGTCTCAAACTTATCCTTCTTTAGGATAGAGTAGTACTCCATTGTGTTAAAAATCTTTATCTGTTCATCGTTGATGGGCATTTGGGTTGTTTCCAAGATTTGTCTGTTACAAACTGTGCTGCTATAAACATGGGTGTGCATATATTGCTGTGGTATGACGCTTTTAATTCTTTCTGGAAGATGCCAAGAAGGGGAATAGCTGCTTAACAGTTTACAAGGCACTTTCAAGCTCTTCATTTCAGAGCCATCAAACCTGTCATAGTTAAACGAGGACAGAGGTTCATTGTGAAGACATCTGTCCAAGGTCACAAAGCTAATAGCAGCAGAGCTTGTAGCTAGCTTGCTCCTTCTCTTTTGTCTTTTTTCCTTTTTCTTTTTTTCTTTCTTTCTTTTTCTTTCTTCTTTTCTTTTTGTTAGAGATAAGGCATAGCTATGTTGCCAGAGAATCCTTCAATTTCTGGACTCAACTGATCTTCCTGCCTCAGTCTCTCCACTATGTGGAACTATACGCAAATACTACTGTGCCCAACTAAAGCTTGTACTTTTAAAATAAACTCTATAAGGCCAGGTCTGGTGGTGCATGCCTGTAATCTGAGCACTGGAGAGGCTGAGGCAAGAGGATCACCACAAGTTCGTGACCAGCCTGGGCTCCATAAGCAAGTTCAAGGCCTGCCTACGCTACATACTGAGACCCTGTCTCAAAATCAAAACAAAACAAAATCTCATGAAGTGAATAGTATTAAATTTTCTATTTCATTTCTTTAATCTATTTTTGTGGTACTGGACAAAGGACTGAATCTATGGCCTTTGCACTGAGATATATCCTTCATCCTATTTATTTATTTTGAGATAGGGTCTTGCTGTGTAGTTCAAGTTGTATAGGGCTTGCTATGGCCTTGGACTCACTATGTAGCCTAGGCTTGCCTTGAACTCGTGGCAATCCTCCTGCCTCAGCCTCCTCAGTGCTGGGATTACAGATGTGTGCCACCACACTGAGCATCCCTAGTCCTTTAAAAAAGTAAAAAAAAAATAAAAGCTGGGTGTGGTGGTGCATGCCTGTAATCCCAGCACTCGGGAGGCTGAGGCAGGAGGATAGTTGTGAGTTCCAGGCCAGCCTAGGCTACAAAGTGAGCTCAACGCCAGCCTGAACTGCATACCGAGACTCTGTCTCAAAAAGACAAAAAAAAAAAAAAAAAAAAAAAAAAAAAAAAAAGTAAAAACATTTTGAGACGGGGTCTTGCTAAGTCATTAAATTGCCCAGACTGAGCTTGGACTTGCAATCCTCCTGCCTCAGTGTTCCAGAATGCAGGAGTTATCGGCGTATGCCACTACATGTGGCTATCTTTTCTATTTTATAGATGAGTTAATCCATTCTCAGAGAGATGAAGTAACTTCCTGGAGTTACACAGTAACTGCTTGGCAAATGAAACAATGTAGAGTACCGGGGTAGGAGCCAGACACCTGGGTCCTATCCCAATCTCAGGGTCTGTTTCTTTGCTACATTACTATTACTTCTTTCTCTAACTCCTAATCATGGCAGGCCTACACAGCTCCTGATCTCAAGGAGCCAACACTATAAAATCAGCTGAGGATACCACTTGCTTTGCCTTACAGGAGTGCTGGGAGAATTAATAAGCTAATGGCACTTGGTATGCTTCAGCAGAGGCCCTAAATAAACTCAGGGCACTTAAGTGTGAAACTCACTCTCAAGGGTAGTTCATGCTTTGATAGGAGGCCCGCAGCCCAGTCTCTGATCTATTTGAAGTGTGGAGGAAGTATAACCACATTACCTTACAGCCCTCTTTGAGAACCATTTGGATGTCACAGGCTAGCAGTGATGGTGAACCTTTTTGAGCTTTCAGTGATAACAAACATCTGACTGTGGAAGGCATGCCATAGCTTCCCCATCCCTGGGCTATGGCATCTCTGCTGGCCTTGGGGTAAGGGAAGGTGGTGGTGCCACCAGGGTCTCAGGCCTTTCATTCTCAGAGGCAAGTGTTTATCCAGCATCTCTGAAGGGTTTCCAGCCTACTTTCAGGGACACCAGTTATTGACAGGAGCCAGACTAACACCATGGTCAACTGGGCTCTGGAAGCAGACAAAACCTGGGCAGAATTCGGACTCTGTCATTTCATGTCTTTGAGCCTCCATTCCTTTTTAAAATGGGGTAATAATACCTTTCTCAGACTCTATGTTATTTTAAAGCATAAACTTGATAATATATTTAACAACACCTTGCTCAGGGCTTGGAATAGAGGAGATGTTCAACAAATGGCCATGATTGTAGCCATTATAGTTATCCCTATGTTGTTATATTATTTACTGATATTTTAGGGCCATGCCAAGAGCCAGATGGAAGATTCATTCATTTGTTCAACAGTCTACTAGATTACCCTAAGTAGGCCAGTCTAAGGAGAATCCTGAAAATAGACATGTACAATGCCTACTGAACGCTGTACGTGCTATGGTAGGGAACTACACAGGTGTTTTAAGGCTTTAAAGGGAGAATCAGTTAACAGGCCACACAGCAAAAGTTTTGCAGAGGAGGCTGCTTCCGGGAAGTGGAAAACGCTACTTGCCGGAGGCAGATTAAAATGCACACGGCAGCCGAACCTGTGTTCTTCACCCAAGAGGTTGACTCTGATCTGCCTGTTGCCTCTTAACTCCCACACAGCTCTGCCAGCTCTGCCAGCTCTGCCAGCTCGCCTTGCCCCAGAAAACCCCCTTTTGGGGCACCTGCAGGTGGTAAACAGCGCAAGTTCTGTGCTATGGCTCCATGTGGCCGAGTCATAAGACCTTTCTTTCAGCAACTAAGCTCTAAAGGAAGCCTTTGGTCGGGAGCGAGGCCTTGTGGGAAAGGGTTATGGTCACTGACCACTGCTTTTCCACACGAGGCCAGGATGAACACGTGGTAGTGAGGTGGGAAAGAGGCACCCCAGGGGCATCTTCATTTCTTTGTAGGTAAGTGCCTGTTCAGGGTAGGTGAGACTACCCAGGGTGGAGCGGGAGGACAACCCCTGCTGCCCCTAAATCTCACGCAGGACCCTCCCCACTTCCTCCCAAGCCAGCCTCCGGGGCCTCTTCTGGCTGCCTTCGGGCAGTGGCTTCACTAGTGACCACATTTTCCAAACCAAAACTCAGGACTCGTAATCTAGCAAAATTCTGGCCAGCTTCCAACTGCAAGAGACAAAAACCTTTCCTCTGAGATGATCCGCATGGTTAAAGGGGACGTCAGGTTGGAAACCTTGAAATTCAAGGTCTTCTCTTTATCAGGCATTTCTTTCCTACATTATATTGTGGATACGTGAAAAGAGCCCACGAAGTCGCTATTATTTCTATCTTACAGTTGAGAATACTTAGAAAGGAAATCATCTGTCCAACTTCGTACTTCCTGAAGTCTGAATTTCGGCCTGTGAGGGAGGGTTCTTACGTCTGGGAGTGCGCCGTGCGGGAGGAGGTGGGGAGCAGCACAGAACTGTCCTTCGCAAAGATGCACAAGCCATTTTAGGCCTCCGGGAACGGGAGCCAAGAACTCAGCTGCTCGGTTCCCACTTGTGAGTTGGAAATCCCCAAGCACAGGACTCGGTCGCCGCCCCACCCCGCCAGCAGCTGGCCGCAGGCCGCACCGCCCGGGAGCCGGAATAAGCCGGGCGACCTTGCGGGTCACCCAGCGGCCGCGCGCCCTTGCCCCAGCCCAGGTGCGGACGGG